CTGTGGCTTCCCCTCCCACCGAAGGGGAAAGATTTGGGGATTTTACGCTGTCTCATGCAAGTTTGGGATGGACCTTCGTGTGAACGAGTGTAGTCGAGGTAATCCCTCGGCTGGGGTCGGTGGTGGGGCTGGGCTGGATGAGGTTTCCAGGTTAGGACCCGTGTTTTGGCGTCTTTAAGTCTCTGCCGGCCTAAAAGCCAGGCTCGTAACTCCAGAGCGAGCACCAGGCTGGCTGCTGCTGGGCCGTCGGAGGCAGCGCAGCAGGTTTCGCCCTCCGCCAAGCCGGCGGGGGGAGCCCGAGCTCCCCATTTCGCCTCCTGCTCCCCCAGAGACGTGCACGGTGTAAAACAGCCGACTCCTGCCGCGGGGAAAGGTCTGAGACGGGGCTTTTGTAACTCAGAGGCAGAGTGCAGTGAGTCCAAGCTGTCCTTTTGGCCTCGTTTCTGCTGTGACAGCTGGGTCTATTTTTTTTTTTCCCCCCAGGAATTTGCTTTTTTACCACTTCTTTTTGACTCTCGTTAAGCAAGACAAGCTCCTCGGGGTGAAATCCTGCAAAACTTTTTGTTCCTCTGCAGATGGGTTGTACTGAAACGCTCTTGACTTTCGCAGAGGTGCAAAACATTTAGGGAAAACCAGCCCTGGTCACCAGCAAATGCTGCTTTTTGTACCTGACTATGCAGGTTCAGCGTCTCCCTCTGGCTTTTTCTTTGGGTTTATGATGTGCTCTGTTGATAACGTACCCACCAAATTAAGCGTGTCCTTGTGATGGGACGTAATTTGTTGAACAGATGTAATTTGTTCGTGGGGAGAGGCTGGCTTTGGCGGGCGGCTGCCGTGTTTCCAGCGTGGCTTTAGCCACAGCGGAGCAGAACCATTGTCTTGCCCCTTTTTTTTTTGCTGGTGCAGGTAGTGGCTGTTAGCCCCGAGCCCTTCCCCGGGGCGGTTTCCTACACCTTTGGTGTGCAGATTGCGGGTGGCTTTTGAACCTGGGAGCTTGGCTTCCTTTGCGCCTTGAAAGCCACTGGCTGCTGGACCGAGCTCGCTTTGGAATGGGGAAGGCAGCGATGGCCTGGATTTGTTTATCCTGACGTTTTTGTGTCGATTGGATCGGCTGGCGAGGACCGTGAGCAGCTCACTGGAGTCATAGGGAGAACAACATCATCTCTGCTGGGGATAAGGCAGCTTGAGAAATCCAGCAGATCCAGCCATAGCAGCTCCTGCTTGTTATTAGTGGCTCTTGTCTTATCTATCTACAATTCCCCCCAATTCATCCCCTTGACACGACCCTAGAACTCTTTCCATACCTTAACCTTCCCCCCAAGATGGTGCAAACCCTCGGCTCTGCTCCAGTGCATCCCTTTTACGGTGTTTCTCCACACGATACTGATCCTTTCATCTGGGTGATCCCATCAAATCAGGCACCACGTGATTTATTTCGCCCCCCCCCCCAACTTCATTTTTATTTCAAGCTCCACTTGATACTCGTTTTCGGAGTTGCTCGGGGCTCTGCCTGCCGTAGGTAAAAGGCTTGTCTGGAAATTCGTGTTACACGTGCCCTTACAGCCAGGCGTTTCTTTTGTGGTCGCTGAGCTCTGCGTGTGCAGCTCCAGTTGCATTAGAGGGCTGAATAAATGGGCTTTAAAAAATGCTTATAAGGACAGATCCTAAATAGATAGCATCCAGAGCTCGTGTCAGAAGAGATCAGAGGCTGGCATTTCTCTTCCAAACATCCGTGGAAGCCGGAGATCTTTGTTTGTTTGTTTTTTGAGAAGTATGTATCTGCTTTGCAAGCCAGGAAAATCCATCAACTGGAAAAAAATAGCTCGGACCACCTTTTAGCTGCTCATCCCGGCTGAATAAACAGTGTCAGCTGTAAAGAGATGTTGCCTTCTATGTTTAGGAGTAGTTAATTGTGCTGCACCCTCTGCGCGCTTGGATTTTTATCCCCAAGGAAAGATCATCTGATTATCGGGCTGGATGGTGTTATCGGGGCGTGGAGCTTGGAAAGCCAGCCAGGAAGAGCCCTTCCTGACCAAGGCAGCAGTTGAAACCAGTGCAATTAGCTAACGACGTTCTTCTGCAGGCCCTTTGGTCCCTGGTGAGGAACAGAAGCCTTTTCATTTGCAAGGGTGATCCCAGAGAGGAGGAAGCCCTCCCCTCTCAAGTACGGTCCTGCCAGCCTTTGAAACGCCGCTCGGCCCAGCCTCCAAAGGGCTCGGACTTTGAGCGGGTCCTTACGGGGCCCCACGTAATGGAGCCCGTGTCCCTTTGATGTCCCCGCTGCCCTCCCTGCGCTCCTCCGCATACCTGGGACCTGAAGTCACAGAGGCTGCCGGCCGCCTTCCCCCTCCGCCTGGGCAGGGCGGGCCTTGCTCTGTCTCCCTCCGGGTGCTCCTGCCCTTCCCGGGACGGCGGCAGCGGCACCCGGCAGCTCTCCCTTGCTCTGGAGATCAGCAGTGTTGATTCTCCAGGTTGCAGCCGCTCTGTATCCGCCTGTTTTCCACTCAGACGCGAGATCGCTGAAGCCCTCTCCGGTTCGACAAGCTTGTGGTGCATCGCAGGGCGGGCCTTGCTCTGTCTCCCTCCGGGTGCTCCTGCCCTTCCCGGGACGGCGGCAGCGGCACCCGGCAGCTCTCCCTTGCTCTGGAGATCAGCAGTGTTGATTCTCCAGGTTGCAGCCGCTCTGTATCCGCCTGTTTTCCACTCAGACGCGAGATCGCTGAAGCCCTCTCCGGTTCGACAAGCTTGTGGTGCATCTCTTTTGCAGAGAGCATCCGTACATCTCCCAGCTGTCTCGTTGGAAGAGGTCAACTCTTCTTTGACTTGTAAAATTCCGATATTTTTTCTTTTCCCTGCATTGTAGAATGAAACTCCGCTCATTTACACCTGTACAACATCCAATAACAGGGAAAGCTTCCTGAAACACCAGGGCTAGCCTCTGCCCTGGGCTGTTTTCGTGTTGTTGACTCATTTGGGAACCGTCTTGGTGTCTGAGGCTGGGGTTGACCTTCAGGTTACAGCAGTAGGAGGGTGACTTTTCTCACTCTTTTGCCATCCCAGACCTTTCCGGGCAAAGTACTGATCTGTTTCTCCGTGCTGGGATGACTCTAGCTAACGCTTTCTGTTCCAAAATAACCCAATTTAAACCCAGCACCTTTCACCCTGTGGTGTCCTCGATGGAGAAGCCCAGCCCAGCCGTCAGGCAGAAATGTTTCTAGCAGTCTAGTTTGCGATGCCAGGCTTGGGAGAACAACATTGCGCTCCGCCAGGGAAATATTTAGGCTGGAAACCTGCTGGTGTGGATTAATGAATTGCACGCAGCCACAGAACGAGCCAGGAAAACTTTGGGAACAAAGAGTAACCAAATGTGACCCTCTTCTGGCACTCTCGTCTTTAAGGAGACCTTGGGTATAGCTCTGGCCACGCTACACGTGTCCCCTGGCACAAGAATTGTTTCCTGCACGACTTTATTCCCCTTTTTCCCCCGTAGCCATACACCTGAGAGCAGCAGCAAGCTGTGCTTTGTCCCTGGAGAAAGGCTCAGGCGCCCTGCGGCCATCTCCTCTGCGTCTGGCCGGGGGTTGCTTTTTGGCCGGGCTCTTACCGCCCACCACTTGGAACCCATCGCCATCGAGTTGCTTTTCTCAGCTGCAGCCTCTTAAAATAGCTGCTCTGGTTTCTTTTAAAAATAGTCTTCTGTTCTGCGTGTCATTACCTGCTAAAAATGTTTCTCCGAGTCCTGTTAGGACATCGGAGGAGGGAGGTCTGTTGGGTGCATCAGCCTTTTTGGAGAGGGTGACGGCGCTTCTGCGGCCACGTGCGCGGCCTCGCCCTTGAGCTGGCCCCGGCGCCCGCAGCCGGGCACGCGCGTCCACGTCTGTCGGGTGATGCATTTCGGATTATTTTGAAAGCCTGACTGCAGAGGGGGAGGAATCTGCCCGGTGCTGGAAGGAGGATGCTCAGAGGCATCAGCCCTGGCTGGAGAGGCTTTAGCTCCTCCGCGGAAGCAATTTGGCACCTGACACATCGGCGACGGGGTGACACAGCACCTCTGGCTGCTGGAGCAGGCGGGGCTTGTGTTTTCCCAGCGGACCGTGGCCGATTTCCTGACCAACATTCGAAGGGATCCCATCCTTGGGTAGCTGCCCTCGCAAAGGTGCTCGTTGCGCCGAAGTCGCTCTCGCTCCGAGCTGGTTAAGGAGCGATGCGGGGGCCGGGGCACGGCACCGCAGGCAGCGGGGGCGTCACGGAGCAGCGGCGGGGGGG